CCCGAAGCTTGTCTCTTTGATCAGATACGGCATGAGAACATGGAAATGAAAAGCGAGGCGAAATCCGGGACATCGTTCGTATTCAAGGTGACACCGTTCCGCTGTTGTTTGCCTTTTCCCACGCATCCAGCTCGGATGAGATGGACGCTTGGGAGTAGCGCACATTGTCGCCCTCATGATTCGACTCTACCCGTCCGAGTAGCAATTGGAGCTACGTATGTCCGGTGGTTCAGATTGTCAGCACTGCTGCTATGCACCGCAGTGCAAGATACTGCGCGTCAAATCTGCTGCTCACCTTATCCTCCGTCTCCTGCAAGCGATGCGCAAGATTGGCATTCTCGCCTCTAAGCTGGTCGTTGGCAGCTTGCGCCGTATTCAAGTCACGAGCAATCGATGCTGTACCAGCAGAGGGCGCTGTGCCACTCCTCGAGGCTTGTGTCAGCTCATTGCTCAAGTGTTGATTGAGTGTGTGCGTTTCCTGCAGCTCTCTTCGAACGCTGTTCAGATTCGACTCTAGACGACTGATCTCCGTCTCGAGCTCGTTCTGACGACGCGTCGAGTCCGCACGGCTGTCTTGAAGGTCACGAGAACGGTCATGCGCCTCTTTTTGCTCGCTAATCAGCGTTGCAAGCCTGTTGTGAGACGGACCAGGCAAGTCAGCACACGAAAAACCTTCCAGGAATCGACGCGTGGCTCACCTTCGTTCGAGTTCACGGTTCTCAATGGCCACCTCCTCGCTCTGCGCGGTGACGTCCACAAGTCGATTGCGGAGCGCTTCGATATCACGAGCCGCCTCCGTCGCAGCTTCTACGCCGGGCTCAACACCCGCTCGCAAGCTTGCATTCTCCGACTGAAGCGTAGCATTCTCGGTCTTGAACCTAGTCAATTCATCCTTCATGCGGCGCAGCATCTTCTCTGTGCCCTTGACGAACGACACGGCAGTATTGTAGTCATTTTCCAAAGTAGCCATGCGCTCTCGGTGCGATGCGACTGCTTCGGCGAGCTCGCGCTCAGCATTCGCAGCTCGCCTCTCTAAAGCTTCCGTATCTGCGCCTCCTGCGCTTCCAGACGCAGAGCGCGCAGAGGCGAGGTCGCGCTCCAAGGCGTCTGCCTTGCCGACAGCCTCTTGTAGCCGACGCTGAGCTTCGCGTGCATCTTCTGTGCGCGCGTCGATCTCGTCCTCTAGTTCACGGATGCGCTTATCTGCGTATCCGCTCTTGGCACTGAGCTCTTCATCTCCTGGAACAGCCAAACCACGCTCCTTCATGAATTGTTTGAGGAGGCTCGTCATGACCTCAGCTTCCTCTGCAGCACGAGAGCGCTCGCGCAACTCCACGTCCTTTGAGCTGGCTTGGTCTTTCAATCGTCCGACCTCTTGCAGCGCGATGGCGAGCTGGCTGCGCATGGCGCTTAGCTCAGACCTCAAGCCAGAGTGTTGCTTCTCCAGACCAATGTTGCGGTCGCGCATGTCTTGAAGTGCCGTGGCGGTAGCCTCCGCGTGCGCTTTTGACTCTGAGTGGAGCGCACGCAGCGATGTGGTCTCATCGGTGAGTGCCCGAACCTTCTGCTCCATCTGCGGCGCCAATTCGTTTGTGCTTCTCGTCGTATTGCGTTGTTGATGAAATTGCAAGACCTGAGCCAAGCCATTCGTCGAGGCCAGACGATGCGTCTCTGCCTCTTCGCGGTGGCGCGACAGAAGAGTCTCCAGCTCCTTGACTCTCCGAGAGTGCGAGTCCGTCTCTAGCGACTTTGAGTTGAGCTCGGAGCGCAAACGATTGAGCGTGCCTTCGTGCTGCTCGACGAGCTCGCGATGTTGAGTATGCATCCTCTCGTGCTCCGCCGCCCGCGAGGTAGCAGCTGCAAGAGCGGCTTGCAGATCCGTCAAAGCAGTGACATGCCGCTCCAACGCCATATTGGCGTCATCGAGCTGACTGCGAGAAGTCTCGTGGTCCGCTTGATGCCTAGCAGCAGTCGAAGTCAGGGTGGTCACCCTCTCTTGGTAGTCTCGCAGTGTACTCTCGTTGAGATGAGAGCGCTTCTGCAGCGCTGCGAGCTCTTCGTGGGCGCGCATCTGGGCCGCTTCAGCAGCCATTGCCCGCTTTGCCGTCTCAGAGAGGCGCTCCTCTGCTGCACTGCGCAGCTGCTTCTCCAAGACCACCTCATCCCGAGCTCGATTAGTCTGTCGCACCAGCTCAGCATTCTCGCGAAGCGCATCAGACAGTTGCTGTTCCATTCGTGTAGTGCGTTCGCGCTCCAATCTCGACACCTCTGTTGGATTAGAGGATTCCATCGCATGGACTTTGGCTCGATAGAAAGCCGCCTCCTGCATCGCAGTCTGTCTTGCGCGGTCAGCCTCCGTCAATCGTGTGGCCTCGTTCTGCGCCTGCTGCGAAATGGTGCCCTGAGAGAATGCGGAAGGTGTCGTCAGCACAGGGTCAGCTCCGAAAATCACAAGAAAAGAGCAACACACCTTCGCATCGGCCAGCTGGGTCTTCAGAGTCACAAGAGCGCGGATAATGCGTTGCTTGTCACTGCCATCCACGCCCGTATCAATGTCTTCAATATTCAGCTCGGAAGATCGACTGCCTGCGCTCGTCCCGTCCGGCAATTCGAGCTGCTCGGGCGCCACAAAGCCTTTTTTGGCCGCGAGGGTGAGCGCGGCCCTCATCCATGCCTCTCGTTTGCGAAGAGCTTCTAACTCTACA